GTAGCCTAATACACTTCCCCCAAGCTCTGTGAAAGTGGTATGGTATCTTAGTATCTTCTCAGAGCCTGTTGTATGTACGTATCTCCCACAGTTAAGTTCTTTAACTACAGCAGTGTATCTGTAATTGCTCTGCCCAAATACCTGTTTGATAATTCCCATTCCTGTGTGGAAGTATCTGCATTACCTTCGAATTTAGACCTCTTGTCTCCTCAAGGGGCTCACTAAGGGTCACAAAGCTCACAGTCTGCCATCTGGCATGCAGACCATTCCTGCCTTTTCAGAAGTACAAGTACTAACAAACAAGACTGTAGCTATGTATTATTATTTCATGAGGCAAGAAGGAACATGATTATTTGCTGTAATTGGTGCAGTCAGCATCCTCCTGCAGCAATGGCTGTGTGCGTTCCTGGCCTTTAGCACTCCTTGGCAAATCGGCAGGCACTTCTTGGGCACCCAGGGGAATATGCTGTAAATGGGAATTCCTAGAGATAAATCTGCTTGCTGCGTGCCAGAACTCGGCATTTCAAACATTCATTTTCCGAGGGGTAATGTATCCATTTTTCCATTGGGAGGCCTTTCCCATCCCCTGGCTTGATGTGTTACTTTTTACTCATCTTGATGCTATCAAGTTTCTGACAAAATGGGACAAACTCAAGCTGGTCATGTTCTTTGCATAATGGGAGGGGCAGATCATATAATGAGATCTGTTGAAGATCTTTGCTGTCCCGTCCTACCAGGACTTCTGGACACTTCTATAGAATAAAAGTAAAACCTTTTTCCTGGCTCTAACATCACTGCATCCAACAGTCTGAATGCTGGCTTGATGACATCCACCAAAAGAAGCTGTTTGGCCAGGTTTGGAACTCTTGAGGAGATTGATTTGGAAAGCTGAGTGGAAAAGCCTTTTTTTTTTTTTTTAAAAAAATATATCAGCAATTTTTTCCTCTTCTATGTCTTCTCTCAGCAAGAGTGAACTATTTGCTGTTCCATAAGAAATCAGTATGCAAAGATATTGTAATGTTATCCTGCTTCTACAGTCTGTTTTCTCTTCATCCTACAGTGATGGGATTCCCTTGGGACCTTGTTCAAGATTTCCCTGGGTTTTACCTCTTACAATCTCAATGTGATGTTGTCAGCGTCTCTCTGGCAGCACTTTGTAGATCCTTTGAGTGGAGACTGCTTTAATAAGCAATGTGTCAGCCTCTAAAGGATGAGGGTTTTCCAGGCTATGTTGAGAATATCTCCACACAGGTAGGACAGGATCACTTTCACTTTATATCAGGGTTTGCCCCCAAATCATCTTAAGTTCCCTGCTGGTTCTCTTCCCCATGTTTTACCAAAGCCTGAGGAAAGGCTCTGTGCTTTCACTTCTGAAAGTATGTTCTTATCTTGTCCTACCTGATACTTGCAAGCTTGCATATGTAGTTGCAGTCCTTGGGTGATGGTTAAAAAATTAACATTTCTGTTCTATAAAAAAATATCTTATTCCGGAGAGATTCATGTAGACAGACAAAGCTTGGGCCACCTCCACTCATATTTGAAGGATACTTCCACAGGTGAATTTTGAAAAGCAGCTATTTGGACTTCTACCACCCAGCTTACAAACACTCCTGGCAGTGATTCTTTAGGCTGACATCCAAGCATCATTTAAGTAGGACTCTGTTATCTAACCCAAGTGAATAAACAACTGCAAATCAATTGCTGAGGGTGAAATCCATGTGGAAGATTGTTCAAAGAAGTGGTTATTTAAATGCTTTTCCAACATGTTTTACCCAGCTGGATTTCCTTCTGTGCTACTGAGTCCTGTACTGCTTGGGCCTCTGTACATCCAGAGAAGCTTAGGTCATGTTGGGTGCCGCAGAAGCCTTTCTGCTCTCGGATGTGGGAACAAGTGGGTCCCTGGCTGACAGACACGTTGCCAACAGATTTTACCACTTGGGCAAATCTGATTTCATTTATGCTGCTCACTGAAAAAGATGCTTCTGTACCCCAGCTGCCCTAACCTGTCATGATAAGACCATAAGACCAGATGACAGCACAGACACTAAGTGGACTCGTATCAAACCACTTTAATCAGAGATATATGCAATTTATGAATCACATGGCTTCCCTGTTCCACAGGAGAGATGATGCAGTCCAGAAGAAAACTCAGGTGGGTTAGTGTAGTGTTTCCAGTCATCCTATGTGTGCTCCTGGTGCAGGGTTGTGGGATACCCTAGATTCTCTCCCTGCATGGTTCTGAACACTGTTAATTCTAGGATAGTGTAGATATTACCAGGTTCTTAATGGCCTCCTTCTTACATTTTGTGCCTGACAACTGGTTGTCACCACTGCTGACAGTCTGCTCATCAGAAAGGTTCTCAACTGGTTTGTAGCTTTCACAGCGATTAACAGGCTGCGTTCCTTGAGTTGCTCATCTACCCAATAACCAAGCTACTCTCATACTGTAGGGTTAGCTAAAGTTCATCTACTAAAGTGAACAATGTTTTTAGCTCTGCCTGTCTTATGCTAACTGCTGCTGCTCCCAGTGGAGGATCTGAGGTTGTCTTGAGAAACAGTAGCTCCTGAAAAAAGGGCTGCAGCCTGCTACAGTATATAACCCCAAGTATGACCAGCATAATTTCTGGTCTCTGGCTGGTTGCAGAGCCTACCTGTACAAATCTTTCTAGCATCTTACACACCTGAATAATTTGGGTTTTCTCATGCTACAGGGAAAAGGAACTAAGTCTGTTCTTGCTCTCATTTCTAGTGGTGGTTTTTTTTTTTTTCCTTTACTGTGCTTTTCAAGGCCTGATTGCTGGCAGACTTCCCTGCCGTTGCAGTCAAACAGACCTGCTTTATAGTATCACAGTTGGTATATGCATAAATGACTGTGGATATAAAATCTTACAATGGTGGGATCAACTTTGTGCTTTGTTCAAGTGAATAAGATTGCAAAGCATGTGCTGCAGGACAGCCATTCATGTCAATCTTCAAGCTATTTTTTGCTGGCTTCCATAGTTCTTCCCTTTAACTTCTTTCTCTCTTTTTCCCTCCTGATCCTTCTAGGATGAAGACCCTGAGGAAGAGGTTGACCATGTAAGACTAGAGGCTTTCTAGGTAGATGCTGGCTCCTCTGAAGGGGACTAGTAGGACTAACCTATTCATGTGTCTGGAGACTACCTTAAGAGGGGACTCTTGTATTGGAGAATAAGACAAAGTTTGCCTCAGAAGCAGCGCCTTTCCTGCATCTTCTGTTCCTCTTGCTGACAGGCTTTTTTATTATCTTTGTAACAGCTGCTCTTATCAGCTGCTGCATCTTGTTCTGAGGTCACAGCTGTATATGTGGCCATTGGGAAGATACTCTATTTTAATTTAAAAGTCAGGGCAACAATTAGCTAATAGAGGGCGAAACCTGACTGAGCCTAGATTTGCTGTCCAGTATGGTTAGCTTGCTCCCATAACAGGAAAACTTGTCTTCGGGGATTATGAAGTCTTGCTGGTGCCCCAGAGGAGAAGGCCAGGCAGTAGTAACAAGGATGTGTGCCTTTATATTTTCTGTGAGTCTTTCCTTTTTATTGCACCAGCACTGGAATGCTAATATCTGTGGTCAGTAGGATGGTATAGTGCTTCTTACCAGGCTCCTGTTACACAGAGAAAATACACATATCCTTTCTCATACTGCAGCAAAGCTAAAATACATCTCAGCATTCATTTGGCATTAGAAGCCAGGGTGGTGGTGTTCAGAGCAACCTGAGAACCTGTTTCTCTTAAAGTCTTTGGGCTAATTGTCTTGCACTCTTCCTAACCATGGAATTGGTGTTGCCCAATTTTTCCTGGCTAGAGTTGCTCTCTGTGTATGTTAGACAATTAAAACATCCTCTCCCATACTCTTAATTCCTTCTGCTGAAGCACTAGCCCAGTACTGGTAACACAGTAGATTCATTTGTGAAATTGAAAGCCCAGAAAAGAAACCCGTCTCACCCATCTCATTAGTTCTGGCCTCAGAAGGGTATGCTCATCGCAAGGAGTCAAGACTATTCAGATTAGCTCAGTTTTCTCTTGGTAGTGCTAGAGATGATATTGTAGGAAAGATCCACTGGGTTTATTCATCAGTGATGGATGGTTCAGGACTATGCCCAGAGCACTTTTCCATTTATCAGGCAAAGAGACCTCCCACTGATGGGTATAGTTTTGGGGACTGGTTACCCAATAGAAATTTTTGCTGATAATTGATCTAAACTTTCCCCACAGCACCCCCCCACTCCCCCCACCACCGGAACCAGTCCTTACAGTCATTTCGCTGGAACTAATTCCACCTCCATATAGTGCCCTACATTGATTCCCAAGGTCTGTTGTACTCAGTGGTGGCTGGTCACATGCCACAGGCGCCTTCTTGCTCCTGGCTGCTAAATTTCATTAAAATAACTAAACTGATGTGACTCTTCCACATGAGCGATTGTTGTTGCCTCAGGGATGTTATGCAATGGTGCCTGGCAAGGAGATTTTCCTTAGTTTGAAGTGATCCCTGCTTTGAAACCCCTCATGTTTGGATAATTCCTGCACTCTTTATTCAGGCTTATGCTCTTAAGCATCACAGTCACACTTTATAGTATTTTTCCATTTGTAAATGCCTGTGAAAGGTAACAAAATGGTTAACCAAGTGTTGAGAAATCTAACTGATCAGTAAGCTGCTTGTAACTTATAATATTGTACGCTTACAAACTTCTGTTAATTGTATCATAAGTCTCTTCCAAACCAATTATTAGTGGAACTTTGTATTATAAAGTGTGATCCAAAACTTGTTGCAGTATATCCCTCCCTTAGTCATTGCCGAGCCAAGCTGAAATACTTGGCTTCTTGAATCATTTGTCCGAAGTTGGCCCCTTCGTCCCCCTGATGGCTCATGTAACCCTTCTCTGAACTCCCTTTGGGCTGTGCTGAGTGTTACAATCTGAACTCTTCCTGGATTTGGTCCCTTTCCTCTTGTTGTGCTGAAGATCCTTTGTGGCTGCCTGAATGCTAGCAAACAGCCCCATCTGGGCTGTCAATGTGAACATACCTGCTGAAGTCCTGCCCTCCAGCCATCTGCCTGCTCTGAGACTTGTTTTGCATCCCCTGGCAAACCACTCATCTTGGATCTGAATTTTTGCCAGTTGAATCACTCCTTTGGCTGCACCTTCCAAGGCTGCCTGGGACATTTAGCCAAAGGCTGTAAGGCTGATCAATGGTATAATAAAGGGTGTATCCTAATATTTCAGTTAATTTGCAGAGGCAGAATAGGCAGGAGTATGAACATGGCTGTGAACCAAGATTTTGCTGGGTTCTCTTCCTGGCTGTGCCACAGATTTGCTTTGGGGCCTTGGAGAAGTCCCTCCTCTAGTTTGCTTTAGTCCCTGCCTGAAAGGAGAATAGAGCTTTATGCAGAAGAACTGTGGGGATTCCCTAAATGCAGATCCACAGGGGGATTTAGATGCTGCCTTCTCATAGCAAAATCCACAGCCTGTTTTAGGTGCCTGTGCAGTATGTAGACAGTCTCAGGATGGGCTTGTGGATCTGTTAAAATCCAAAGAGTGGCTGGGGACTGCAGTGTGTCGAACCCTGTCCTTCTGTGGAGCTCTGGCCCCATTTGGAGAGCTCTGGGAGCGGATGTTCCTGTGTTTTGTAGCCTTTAGCAGTGGAGTAGGGCTGTTCCTTGCCTTTGGGAACCTCCAGGGATGGAGGTGTTCATTTCAATGTTGAAGCCACGTGCTCTATACATAAAGATTAAACCCACACTCTCCAAGCTGGAAGATACTGATTTTATTGTCCTCTTCTTCCTCCTGAAAGATATATCAAGTAATGTTTCCCACCTCCCTAAAGAATATTATGTATAATGACAAAGCTGTTCTGGGTGTGAGAAGGCTCTCAGTCTTCTCTCCTGAAGCTGCCCTGCTTTGTAAAGGGAACTGAAAGAATTTTTGGGCCACAGGGAAGGACTTTCTAGCTGAAGGCAACAACATTGAAGTGGGAAGATGTCTGTTCCAGTCGTAATGAGTCCAGCTGGGACCTTGTTCTCTAGCTGTGCTTTGGTAGACATGCCGTAGGTAGTCTCAAGGTCCTTAATGGACTAAAGCAGGGAGAGCACTTGATTTCTGACTCTTAGCTAGGTGGACACTGACCTCTGTGGCTTTCTGTCACTCAAAGTTTGAGTGATGACATGCTTTAAGGCAACAGTTGGAAAGAGGATTTGAGGATCTAACCTTTCCAGAGGGGGCAACCAAGTCCTGTAGTTCTAGTTCCCAGTGTTTTTAAAACAATTTGGGTGGAAAAATGGGCTGTTGCTTTTTAGGTTAAGACAACATGTCAGGAATAATTGTTTTCAATGAACGTTTGTTGGGAGAACAACTAGTAAAAAAATTCCAGTACCTGAAATATGAAACCAACTGTGGACTTACATTGCCAAGTTCAGTGGGGTTGTTTTGAGTGAGCGTATTTGCATCCTAAAATATAGTGCAGAATGATGCAGAGCTTCCCTAGTGAGAAGCAGTACCTGGGGAGGTACCAGCTTGGTCACCAGAAGTACCTAAAGCTAGACTGTTTCCAGACTCCAGCTGACTCACATGGATCCTGCTTGCAGGTGTGTCTGCACCTGTGGTGTAGACATGGCCTGGGGCTTGATATGATCAGGGCCTTTAATCAGAGCGGTATTTTCCTGACCCAGTTCTTACCTTCGCACAGTGGTTGGCACCCAGCTCCAAACTCTCATTCCTTTGTCTGGTCTGGTCTGGATCTGTGCAGCAGCCCATCCCCAAATGCTCTTCCTCACATCCCCTGAAAATTAGAAATGTATGACTGAGGAGCCCAGCACTGGCTGCACTCAGCTGGGTGCTCACTGGGGGACCTTATTTGTGTGAAAATAATCACAGTGGTTTATGCACTGTCCAGCCACTCTAGTTCATAGAATTCATGACCTAAGAAGTCATGTATAATTGTAATGCAGTCCCCTATGGCCCTTTTTGTATATACAGCTTGCATTGCAGCAAGATATAGAGAGTGTTGGTGTGTGCCTGGGACAAAAATTTCCTATTCCCAAAGACCTTACAGTCTGTGTTGTTTTTCTCTAGCATCCTGTTCTCCCCTGTGATCTTCAGCTTGTAGAAGAGCCCTCACCGGGAGCTAGCTGCATTTTGTGTGAGGCACTGTTTCCAGGATTTTGCCTTCTTAGGCATGCAATTGGGAGTGGGGTGGACTGGCAGTAGATAGCTTTTGAAGCAACTGGCATCTCTCAGAACCTGGGAGGGTTCTCTGAGGCAGAATTTCCTGTAGCTGTTGCACATTGTGAATGCCCTCCCATTTGTGTGTTTGTCCTGGGCTGAGCTGAATTTGTCCCTCCATGTCGCAGAGTTTCTGTCATCTGTTTGGATTCTTGCATTGTGCTGATAAACACCCACCACCAAAGGGAACCAGCATCCAAGGAAGCACTGGCTTTTTTACCTGACTCCATTTTACCTGGACTGCTGCTTTTTTACTGGTGGTCTTCTGGTTGGTTGTAGAAATGCTGGACTCCCAGCCTGTTCCTGGGGACCGCTGAACTGGAAGTTGGCCAGATTCTCCAGGAGGAATCTAAAAAATGCAGCTGAACTTTTGTTCCCTAATTAGGCCAACTTCCCCAGTGTGAGCCCCAGCACTGCGTGGCCTGGAGCTCCCCAAGGCCTTGCACTGCCTTTCTCCCGTGCACCCCGAGTGGCTGGCCAGCAGGGCAGTTATTTTCAGCTTTCTGAGGTTATCTACTAGCCTTTTGATGACATCTACTGAAATAGCATTTCTAGTCAGCCATGTTTCCCAGCCTTTCTAGTATCCTCTGTGCTTGGCTACCTTGATGTGGATTAGTGACAATCCCATAAAAAATAATTTTATTAAAAGCTTTTCCTTTTCTGCACATTTATTTCATGTTTTGAGTGCTCTTGGGCCCACCTGAAGGCAGCAAAAGAACTGTACGAGTGGTGGAGATGAATGGGAACATGTCTGACAGTACGTAGCACAGGGTAGTAGCAAACTGAGAGATGTTCATGCCTAGGAGGACTGGAGGGGCACTGCTCTGTGACTGTGGGTTGTGAAAGGATTCTACCTGATTCCCTTGCTTAGAGAATCAGATTGTTGTGTGCTGCTTCACTGTTTTCATGCAGTAAGTCGTGAGACGGGTTAAGGTGCCAAATGTTGCAGTAAGACAGCTTTCCTAGCAGGTACACATGTAAGCTGACTAGGTGGCTGACCACTGGTTTAGGGAAGAAATTCTTGATAGCTGTTTAACAACATGAGCTGCTCCTTTACCTGCTGTGATAGATGACGGAAAATATTTAAGCCCCCCCAAGAATAGAACTAGAACTTTCCCTAGTAAAGGAAGGTCAGTGACCATGAAGGATGGCTTGTGGATGAGATGGGGATCCAGTATTTTCTACTAGGCATTTAAGACATGCCGAAGTCCTCGGAGGGGATTCATTAAAATCAGGTGCACTACCTGAACCGACATGATGAAGAGGGCTAGCAGACATAGGCTGTTCTTTGCAAAAAGCCGAGGCTTGCATGGATCTCAGAACTGAGCCCTTTTTGATATCATATATGCTCTGAAATCAGTATAGATTGTAAGTGTTATGTGGCTGCTTGGAAGCAGTAGGGCTGTTTGACTTACAGCTCTTTAATTGGCAGCAGTCAGAACTAATTCATCAGGCCTGTTAGTGGCAATTTGCTTTTCCTCAGTCAAGGGAGCCTCAGGCAACTTGCTGGAGAAGAGGAAACTTGACTGGCCATACTTCTTTCTGCTCCATGGTCAATACTGGATAAAAACAAGGCACCTACATACTGTATAAAATCTCACATTGTTTGTATATCGGGCAGAATATAGATCCCATGCATTTTAGATGTATTACGCGACAGAAAAATTGTATGTCCTCTGTTGCACACTGTCAATGTCATTTGAGTCCCTGCTTCCCTGCACAGAGTGGCTGCTGTTTCAAAGGAGTTGTCATGTTGATGAAGGTAAATTAGTCCATATTTTCAGACCTGTCTGAGAATCTGAGGGACCCAACTTGCCTGTAATCTGCCTGTGTCATGGTAGGTCCTAAAAGAAACTTTGCTGGACCCTCAGGATCCAGAGACACACAGCATAGTTGCTTCCATGAAGGAAGCAACATTCAACTAGGACCTTCAGAACCGCAGACTTGATCTGACAAGTGGCCTGGAAATTTCTGCCTTAATGGGGAAGCCAAATTAGAATTCTACATCTGTCTGATAAGAAAGGGCCTGACTACAGATAAAGAAGGTAGAGTTTCTACTTTAATGCAGGAGAGATGGAATTCAGGCCAGTGATTTTTCAAAGGGAGAGATAAAATACTGATTATGGTGGTAGTATGAAAGTGTTGGTAAGGAAGGCAGCCTGAGAAATACTGGAAAAGTGTCATCACAAAAATGGTGAACTGAATTTCTGAGAAAAAATAAAGAGCCCAGGCCATGGCAATGTTCCTTGAAAAAGTGGACCATCTGCAGTAACTAGGGTAGAGAAAATCTTCTGGAGATAAATAACTGACAAAACTTAAGTGGAAAAGCAAACCACAGCAAGCAAGTAGTCAGTTAATGCTGTGAAAGAGACTGAGCAGCAAGAGCTGAGAGAGAACACTGTTGTCAGGAGCTGGTGGAATCTCAGTGTTTTGGACACCAAACCATTTGGCTGTATAGCTTAGCTTTGCATTTGGGAACATATATAAAAATCTTGCTCCAGTATAACACATAGGTACCAATAAGTTTGATCATTTAAAGTCCACAGTTTTTTTCACCAAAAACGTGTGTTCAGGAGCACATTTGCTCATTACGGAAGAACAGAGTCCTCTGTTTCTGCTCTGCTCTCTCTGGGGTTGACATTCTTTCCACCTTCTGCCTCAAGCTCTTGCTTGCAACTGCAACGTCTCTACCTGTCCCCATACTATGGCAATGCACAGCATTGCATTGTGAATTGTAAATTATGCTGAGGTTTTGGAAATGCGAAAGTATATGAAGGTAAGTTTATTTGCTTGACAAAAGTGCATGTGGCATGTGACCTTATTACGGCACTTTCCAGGCAACTAACAAAGAAAAGCTATTTATCCTCAGCTGACAGTTAACATTACCTTTCCTGTTGCTAGTGCTCCTGTGGGCAGTTCAAAAAGAATTACCTGATTTATTGCAAGAGGAATAAAAGACCTGTAGGTGTATGTGAGGTGTTTGTCAGGGTCTGCCAGACATTCAGGGTTGTCTGGTGTGTGTGATCAATGGGAAGACATTATAAAATTGGCAAGACATAGGAATCAACCCCCTAGATGCTACAGAGTCATGCCAGGTGCAGAGACTGGGGAAGTCATTCTCATCACCCTCTGATATGGAGTGCCCAACTTGAGATAGCTTGGATCTGAAGGCTGGTTTAGATGACGAGGAAATTAAATTGCAGGTGCATTGGAATGCCCTGGAGATGCTGCATTTTCCCTCAGCCTTATGGTCTGGGTTCTTTGGTGACATTTGTGTAACTCCGTGCACCTTTGCGAGGAGTTGTGAGTCTGTGTGTTGGGACCATGGCCTGCTGGCTATCTGGGAGATGGTGTGAGGGGAGGAAGGAGGAGGGTTATTTGCATGGGAAGGATCCGTGTGGGAGGGAGTGTGTTTTTGAGGTAGGGGTGTGTGTAATGGGAATAGGGATGTGGGCATGCACGCCCATATGTGGTGTGTTTTTCCCCTTTTTCCTGGGCTCTGGGTGTGTCCAGATCAACTGAATTCAAAATGCTCCTTTTTTGGCACTGTAGCCTCTTCTCTGGTTTGGCATCTTAAGAATCTGGGGGAATCATTTAAAGATCAGAAAACTCCATTCACTTGGGCCCCTGAAGGCTTCACATTCTGTGACATGGTCATTCCAGTCGACTGAGCTCTGTCCCCTGCGGATGAGCCCATATAAGGAGGCTGTTTCCTGCGTTTCACGCTCCCTGCCTGTCCCTCTGCCCTCCTGTGCTCCCTTTGCTGAAGAAAGCT